AAAAAAAAAAAAAATATATATATATATATATATACACACACATATATACATACACATACACATACATATCTACAGCTAGGTGCAGTGGCTCATGCTTGTAATCCCAGCACTTTGGGAGGAAGAGGTGAGAGGATTGCAGGAGCCCAGGGGTTCGAGACCAGCCTGGGCAACTTGGCGAGACCTTGTCTTGATAATAAATCGAAAAATTAGCCAGGCATGGTAGTGTGCGCCTGTAGCTCCAGTTACTTGGAAGGCTGAGGCGGAAGGTTCTCGCCGGAGCCCAGTAGGTCAAGACTGCAGTGGCTGTGAGTGTGCCACGGCACTCCAGCCTGGGTGACAAAGTAAGACTCCATCTCAAAAAAACAAAATAAAACAAAACAAAAAAACTAACAAACGGTGTGGTGCTCACCTCTGTGAGTTTACTGTTTTTACTTAAATAAACCACAGTGTTATTATTTTTTTCCTAAAGGCCTGGCTAAAAGGGTAACACAAAGGGACCCATTTACCATTTTGACTGTTGGAATAGAATAAACATAATGGATCTGCCTTTTAAAAATTTTAGAGACAAGGTCTCACCCTGTTATCCAGGCCAGAGGGCAGTGGGGCTATCATAGCTTTCTGCAGCCTCAAACTCCTGGGTTCAAGCGATCTTCCCACCTCAGCCTCCTGAGTAGTTGAGACTATAGGCACGTGCCACCACATCTGATTTTTTGTTTGTTTGTTTGTTTGTTTACTTTTCTGTAGACATGGGATCTCCATATGTTACCCAGGCTGGTCTCAAATTCCTGGGCTCAAGTGATTCTCCCACCCCGAAGAATTGCAATTACGGCTGTGAGCTGCTGTACCCGGCCTGAAATGGTCTTTTATCTGCCATTGTGCTGGGTTGAATACCATCCCCCCAAAAGTCGTGTCTCCCAGAACCTCAGAGTGTGATCTTATTTGGAAATAAGATTTTCGCAGATGCAATCAAGTTAAGATGAATTCATACTGGACTACAGTGGGCCTTGATTTAATGATTTCAGTGATTGGTGTGTCCTTACAAGAAATGAGAAACTTGGATGCAGACACACAGGAGAACGCCATGCAACAACAGAAACCCTGTCTCGGAATCTATATCCTAGGGAGAAAAAAACAAAGCCATCCAGGGAGAATGCCACGTGACAACAGAGACAGAGATTGGAGTGATGTGTCTATGAGCCAAAAAATGCCAAGGAATGCCGAAAACCCACAGAAGCAAGGACAAAATCCGGGCAGGTTCTCCCTCAGAGGACCCCGCCGACTGACACCTCAATTCCAGACTGCTAGCCTCCAGAGCTGCGAGAGGACACATTTCTATTGTTTAAGTCACCCAGCATGCGGTCTTTAATCACAGCAGCTTCTGAAACTAACAAACAGGGTCTGACTTGGGAAAAAATGTCAGTGTGAAGAAAGATGCTCTGATCTCCCAATTCAAAGACTACATCCCAGTCGGGCTCGGTGGCTCAGCCTGTAATCCTGCGCTTTGGGAGGCTGAGGTGAGTGGATTGCCAAAACAAAACAAAACAAAAAACACCAAAAAACAACAACAAAGACTACATCCCACGAGTTAGGACTGCCTTCTGCAGGCCAGAAAATTCCTAGTGTCCTTCCCAGGCAGATACAAACGCCAGTGACAACAGTCATTGGCAGAGGAGACAGGAAGGAAAGGGTGAGACCATACAGCTCCGCCCCTAATGGCGTGCTGTTGAGTGCGGACAGTTTCCTCTGTGTTTTGTCATCACTGCTATGGGGACAAAAGGAGCCAGGCATGGTGGCTCAAGACTATAATCCCAGCACTTTGGAGGCCGAGGCGAGAGGATTGCCTGAGCCCAGGGGTTCGAGACCAGTCTGGGCAACTCGGCGAGACTTCAACTCCATAATAAATCAAAAAAATTGGCCAGGCGTGGTGGCACATGCCTGGAGTCACAGCTACGTGGAAGGATTAGGTGGAAGAATCGCCGGAGCCCAGCAGGTCGAGGCTGTGGTGGCCGTGAGCGGGCCACTGCACTCCAGCCTGGGTGATGGGGTGAGACTCAGACTCATAAAAAAAAAAAGAGTGGCGTCTGATAGCCCAGAATGACTGGCAGTCCTTGTTTGAGACTGAGGAGAAGAGGGAGTAGATTATGCTGAAAGGAAGCACTCGGGACTGAGGGGGTTTAGGGGTGGGAGGGGGTCAGGGTCAAAGGCAAGAGAGAACACTGACCACAAAACTGATGCTCAGACCCCAGCCCAGTGGCTACACCTTTGGGAGGTAAGAAGACCTGTGAACAGCCGGGCTCGGTGGCTCAGCCTGTAATCCCACACCTCGGGAGGCTGAGGTGAATGGACTGCCTGAGCCCGCGGGTTCGAGACCCGCCTGGGCAACTTGGTGAGACCTCATCTCTACAATAAATCAAAAAAATCAGCCGGGCGTGGTAGTGCGTGCCTGTAGTTCCAGCTACTCGAAAGGCTGAGGCGGAAGGATCGCCGGAGCCTAGCAGGTCGAGGTTGGTGGCCAGGAGCGGCCACTGCACTCCAGTCTGGGCGACAGAGTGAGACCCCAACCCCCAAAAGAAGACCTGTGGAGAAAGGCAAAGGGACCACTTCTTGAGCCAAACAGTCTAGGGACCCAGGAGGGGGCGAAGGCTGCAAGCCTGAAGCAAAGCCATGCCTGGAACATTCTTCCAGAGCTATGAGTGTTGTTGTTGTTTTTTTTTCTGTGCTGTTCAGTAAAGGTTTGTCTCCCCTTCCCCTCTGCCTGGAAGGCATTTCACAAACAATTGCAACATCCTAATTCATCTCCACCTGCCTCCTGGGGCCCCTGTCTGGCCCTCGTGACCACCCAGGGGCAGGCACTCTCCTGCGTGTCTTCCGCAGATTCCGCTGGGGTGGCAGGGCCTTCAGAAGTGTCGACTTACCTCCTGTGCCTGGCACGCTGGGTGCACCAGGGTCATTTGGATGCGGCGCCGAAGGTGGGTCATAGCCGATCACCAAATCAATGGTGGCCTGGGCAGAGAGAATTCACAACAGAAAGAATCAGTCCAGGCCGGGCTCAGTGGCTCAGTCTGTAATCCCAGCACTTTGGGAGGCTGAGGTGAGTGGATTGCCTGTGCCTGCAGGTTCGAGACCCGCCCGGGCAACTTGGTGAGACCTCATCTCTACAATAAATAAAAAAATTAGCCGGGCATGGTAGCGTGCGCCTTTAGCTCCAGCTACTTAGAAGGCTGAGGCGGAAGGATCGCCAGAGCCCAGCAGGTCGAGGCTGTGGCGGCCGGGAGCAGCCACTGCACTCCAGTCTGGGTGACAGAGTGACTCCAACTCAAAAAAAAAAGAATCAGTCCAGGGCATCAGCATCTTATGGGCTTGATATGGGCCGATTCAGTAGGAGCCAAAGTCCTGGAAAGACTGGGCGCAGTGCTCATGCTTGTAATCCCAGCACTTTGGCAGGCCAAGGAGGGAGGACTGCTTGAGCCCAGGGGTTCAAAACCAGCCTGGGCAACCTAGTGTGACGTCATCTCTACAAAAAAAGTAAAAAAATTAGCTGGGTAGAGTGGCCTGCTCGTGTAGTTCCGGCTACTAGGGAGGCTGAGGCGAAAGGATCGCCGGAGCCCAGGAGGTCAAAGCTGTGAGTCATGATCGTGTCACTGCTCTCCAGCCTGGGCGACAGAGTGAGACTCTTGACTCAATAAAAGAAAAGCTTTGAAAGGGATGAACCAGGGACTAGGAAGCAAGGTTAGAGGGGGGAGGGGTGGCACGTGCTTGACTCTTCCTGTCCTCCTACATTGTGCCAAGGGCGGGTCTGTACCAGGCACAGGCTGCCAAGGGTGTGATTGCCAAGGGGCCACCTCACAAAATGGTGTAAAGTTGGGCCAAGCAACTGTGAGCTTGTAGTGAGCTTCCAACCCAGGCTGGAGGCAGCCTTTGATCACGGAATTACAACCACAGAGGCGCATTTTAAATGATTCATTTTTTGCTCACGGACTTATTTGATTAATTACTGAGGTTTATTTTCACACCCCTCTGTAAAAAATAATTTTTGGCCAAGTGCAGTGGCTCACGCTTGTAATCCCAGCACTTTGGGAGGTTGAGGCAGGAAGATTGCTTGCATCCAGGAGTTCGAGACCAACCTGGACAACATAGCGAGACCTCATCTCTACAAAACAAATCAAAAAATTAGCTGGGTGTAATGGCATGCACCTGCAGTCCCAGCTGAGGCAGAAGGGTTGCCTGAGCCCAGAAGTCAAGAGCTGGCCTGTAAGCTAGGATCACACCACTGTACTTCAGCCCTGGCAAGAGAACCCAACTCAAAAAGAAAGAATTCTGCCATAGAAAATCAAATCAATCTGGCCGGGTGCAGTGGCTCACACCTATAATCCCAGCATTTTGGGAAGCCCAGGCGAATGGATTGCTTGAACCCGTGGGTCTGAGACCAGCCCGGGCACCTTGGCAAGACCTCGTCTCTACAATAAATCAAAAAAATTAGCCGGGCATGGCAGCGTGGGTCTGTAGTTTCTGCTACTTGGAGGACTAAGGCGGAAGGATCGCCAGAGCCCAGCAGGTCAACACTGCACTCCAGCCTGGGCAATGGAGTGAGACTCCAACTCAAAAGAAAAAAAAAGAAAATCTATCTAATTTGCTAGTCTGTGATTGAAAGTATAAAACAAGGCTCTTATCATACACAGATGGAACCGTTTATCTCAAAGCTAGATTTCTGCTTGTCGTGTAATAATCAATTTATGTTTTTTCCTCCATGAACCTTCACTTAGTCATCTCACGGCAGCGCCATCGAGCAAAGGGAAGACCCTCACCCCAGTGTCTTGCCCCCTCTCGTTCAGCAGGGAGATAAGTTTGTAGGGCAGCGATCTGCTCTGGTCGCCGATCAGGTCCTTGAGGGCCACAGTCGCCGTGCCAATTAACCTGCGGGGGAACAAGAAAGAAGCCTAAGCAGGCGGCGTACACCCACAGGCTCAGGACTCCCCAGTTCCCTGCTCACGCATCTGTTATCATCAAAGGCATCCACTGTCCCATCATAAAGTCACTCCAGTATTATAGACTCTAGTTCCATCCAGGTTGCTGTGAAATTCATGATTTTGTTCTTTTTTATGGCTGTGTAGTATTCCATCGTGTATATGTACCACATTTTTTTAATCCAGTCCTCTTTTGATGGGCAGCATGGTTGCTTCCAGGTTCTTGCTGTTGTGAACAACGCTGCGATAAACATACGTGTGCAGGGATCTTTTTTACAGAGTGATTTGAGGTCTTCAGGGTATATTCCCAGTCGGGGGATTGCGGGGTCATATGGAAGGTCGATTTTTAGAGCCTTTAGGAATCACCACACTGCTTTCCACAGAGGTTGCACTAGTTTACACTCCCACCAACAGTGTAGAAGGGTTCCCTTTTCGCCACACCCTCTCCAGCAGCTGTTATTTTTTGAGTTGTTGATCATTGCCATTCTGACTGGGGTTAGGTGGTATTTCAGTGTGGTTTTGATTTAGTGACCTCTCACAGAAACAAAGATCCGAGTATCACATGTTCTCACTCATATAATGGACCTTGAACATGCAATGTAATCCTATAAGAAAATGACTGACGGTACTGGGAAACTATGGGCAGGGGAGGGAGATGGGATTAACAGGAGCAAATATCTGTCTGGGGACGGGGAAACACCTCTTATCAACAGGGCGCCTGAATGAAACGTAATTGTATACCTAACCCTAACTGTACCCCACAACATCATAATAAAAAATATTGATAAAAAAAAAATAAAGTCACTCCATCATGAGATCATCACGAGGGCTGTTCTCTTCTCAACCCCGCAGGATATCTTGGCCGTAAACACGTCCACAGTAAACGTCTCTACCATCACTTCTCCATAACAAGTATTCATTGCATAGTCTTAACTGCAGCGTCTGTGAAATTTCAACATGGATAAGACAGAGTAGGGAAGAGTCAAAACTGTATACAGTCCCCCAAGGACCCAGGAAGAGAGAAAATTCAGACAAAATTCAGTAAGAGAGGACGCGATTTCTCTGTAATAGAAATACAAAAGAATCTACAAATCTTTGCTCACTGTAAAAACATTCCCCCAAAGTAGACCTTCTAGGGGTATAGTGGCTCACGCCTGCAATCCCAGCACTTTGGGACGTCGAGGTGGGAGGATCGCTTGAGCCCAGGAGGTGGAGATCAGCCTAGGCAGCAGAGCAAGGCCTTGTCTTTACAAAAGAAAAAAGAAAAAATTAGCTGGGTGTGGTGGCATGTGCCTGGTGTCCCAGCTACTTGGGAGGTTGAGGCTGAGGGATCGCCTGAGCCCAGGAGGTTGAGGATGCAATGGGCTAACTGTACCACCGCACTCCAGCCTGAGCGACAGAGTGAGAAACCAAGAATTTTTTTTGAGTCAGTCTCACTCTGTCGCCCAGGCTGGAGTGCAGTGGCACGCTCACGGCCACCACGGCCTCGACCTGCTGGGCTCCGGCGATCCTTCCGCCTCAGCCTTCCAAGTAGCTGGAACTACAGGCGCGCGCTACCACGCCTGACTTATTTTTTGATTTATTGTAGACACGAGGTCTCGCCAAGTTGCCCAGACTAGTCTTGAACCCCTGAGCTTAGACAATCCTCTCACCTCAGCCTCCCAAAGTGCTGGGATTACAGGCTTGAGCCAACGTGCTTGGCCGAGAAAAAGAATTTTTAATGTTACTTATAACCTGTCTGCATTTGTAGCAACTTATACTAATCCTAGCTGATATGAGAGCACAGAAAGTCATTAGCGCAAAAATAGAAAGTTAAGCACTGAGTTCTTAAAGTGACAGAAGAGATTTCCTACATGAAAAAATCCAGGATGAGGAAACTATAGTTGAATGTCTTTATGTAATTCTGGGCTTTGGAGTAAAGATAACAAGAAAATTCACCTTGTGGGGAAATAATTTATTTCATTTAAAAATACAATACATGCCAGGCTCAGTGGCTCAGCCTGTAATCCCAGCACTGGGAGGTCGAGGTGAGTGGCTTGCCTGAGCCCGCAGGTTCGAGACCCACCCGGGCAACTTGGCAAGACCTTGTCTCTACAATAAATCAAAAACTAGCCAGGTGTGGTAGCACACACCTGTAATTCGGCTACTCAGAAGGCTGAGGCGGAAGGATCGCCGGAGCCCAGCAGGTCGAGCCTGCGGTGGCCGGGAGCGGCCACTGCACTCCAGTCTGGGCGACAGAGTGAGACTCCGACTCAAAAAAAAAAAAAAAAAAAAAGGAAAAGAAAAATATAATGCAGTTCATCTAAAAATCAGGATGTGAAAGTGACTTCACAGAGGTGATTCAGGAACCCTATGTGGCAATTTGGGCACTTTTTTTTTTTTTGAGTCAGAGTCTCACTCTGTTGCCCAGGCAGAAGTACAGTGACAAGATCATGGCTCATTGTAACCTCAAGCTCCTGGGCTCAAATGATCCTCTCGCCTCAGCCTCCCAAGTTGCTAGGAATATAGGCACACACCACCATGCCTGCTATTTTTTTCCCCCCTTAATTCTCTGCAGAGATGGGGTCTCGCTATGTTGCCCAGGCTGGTCTCAAACTCCCTGTCTCAGGCGATCCTTCAACCTCAGCCTCCCAAAGTGCTGGGATTACAGGCGTGAGCCTCTGCATCCAGCCAGGCACACCATTTTTGAAGTGACAGACATACAGTATCTGGATTCTCTTCCTTCCACTCAGTCCTCAGAAATAAGACTAGTTTGTAGAGACTGGTCTGTAGCCCAGCTACCCACATCCACATCCAGTGACCCGGCAGTGTTAATAAGTGATTTCACTTTCTGTGAATGTATATATCATATTGCACAAGACCAGGAAACTGCCACAGCACCGTGTTTCACCAGTTCACCCCGTGATGTGAACCCTGTGTCCGTGATTTCTTGGAAGAGTGTACTTTCTTGTACAGAACACCACACAAGACACTCAAGAACTGGAATGAGTTCTCACCCCTGCTAATATCACAAGCAGAGTCCATACTTGGCAACGGAAAAAAAAATTTTTTTTGCCTCCATAGGGGTAAGAGGGAAATTTTCATCTCTTTTAGGTCAATACAGACATTTAGTTTTCCAATCAACATTGAGAATTGGTGGGAATTTTCTCCTGGGGTTTTTTTTTTTTCTGTTATTGTCATACAGTTAACTTCTACGTGTTAGTAAATCCACAAAGCATTGTTTTATATTTTTTCTTTAAGCAATGTATTATCTTTTGAGGAAATCAAACACTAAAAATATTTTTTATTTGGGAGGCAGAGACGAGAGGATTGCCTGAGCCCAGGGGTTTGAGACCCGTCTGGGCAATTTGGTGAGCCCTCGTCTCTACAATAAAAAAAGAAAATAGTTGAGTATGGTGGCGTGTGCCTGTGGTTCCAGTTATTTGGAAAACTGAGGAGAAAGGAGCACCTGAGTCCAGCTAGTCAAGGCTGCGGTGGCCATGAGCGTGCCACTGCACTCCAGCCCGGCTGATAGAGTGAGATTCCAATTCCAATTTTTTAAAAAAGGTATGCATAGTGGCACATGCCCGTAGTCCTAGCTACTCGGGAGGCTGAGGTGGGAGGATCGCTTGAACCCAGGATTTGGAGGCTGCAGTGAGCCATGATTGTGCCACTGCCCTCCAGCCTGGGCACCAGACTGAGACCTTGACTCAAAAAAAAAAAGTCATCCAGATAGTCTTAAATGTCTAGATGAGACGCTGGCCTTGAACGACGTGGAAACAAACTGGATTTCATTCCTCACAGGCCCATGATTCATAGCCTGACTCTGAGATTAAGATAAAATAATAACATCGCGCACTTGAACATGTACTGAGCTGCTTTTGCTAAAGTCGAAGTGACCTGACTCTGCATCACCAATCAATCTGAGAACAAACAGCGCAGCATGCTGGAACAATGCTGAAGAGGAACGCGGACGGCCTGGGCTTGACCAGCATTCCCCAACCCTACAACTATGGACATTTTGAACCCATTAATTTTTTTGCTGTGGGGGGCTGCGGACAGCATCCCTGGCCTCTGCCCACTAGATGCCAGTAACAATCCCCAGGGGCAATTAAAAAAAAAAATCTCTGCATCGCCCCTGGTTGAGAATAACTCCTATTCTGTCTGTAACTCTGGGTCCCAACTTCCATTTTTTTTTTTTGAGTTGGGGTCTCACTTTGACGCCCAGGCTAGAGGGCAGTGGCATGCTCACGGCCACCACAGCTTCGACCTGGTAGGCTCAGGCAATCCTTCCACCTCAACCTCCCGGGTAGCTGGGACTATAGGTGTGCACCACCATGCCTGAATAATTTTTTTATTTTTTTTGTAGAGACAGGGTCTCGCTATGTTGCCCAGGCTGGTCTCAAACTCGCAGGCACAAGCCATCCTCTTACCTCAGCCTCCCAAAGCACTGGGATTACAGACTTGTGCCACGCCCCCTCTGCCCACCTGTGATGTGTCCCAACTTTCTTTGAGAAACTGCTAATCATTTAACTCCTCATTATTTGCAAACAAATGGCTTGAGGAAAAAATTTCTCAAACTTTCAACTCCTAAAGTTGACTACCAAGCTTGTATATGCTTTTTCTTTTTCTTTTTTTTTTGGTCTCACTCTGTCGTCCAAGCTGGAGTACAATGGCACGTTTCATGGCTACTGCAGCCTCCACCTGCTGGGCTCAGGCAATCCTTCCACCTCAGCCTTCCAAGTAGCTGGAACTACAGGCACGCATCACCACACCTGGCTAATTTTTTAATTTATTGTCGAGACGAGGTCTCGCCAAGTTGCCCAGGCTGGTCTTGAACCCCTGGGTTCAGGCAATCCTCTGGCCTCAGCCAGAGGATTATAAACGTGAGCCACCGTGCTTGGCCTGATGTTTTCTATATATGTCTACTTAGGAGACTTTCCTGTGTTCAATATTCTTTTCCACTCTCTT